GCCAACTGTGGATGGAGAATGGCAACTTCTAAATTCCATCTGCTCTTTTTTGTCACCTTCTGTACTCAGAAATGCATTCATCAGAAGCACAAGCACTCTGGGACAGTGACAAATTTTACCATCCCTGGCTTGTCACTTCAACAAGATTAGATTATTTTAATATTAATTCATTACCCAATTTAAATTCAATTAAATACAATTTACAAGGCCCTGACAGAATGGCAACTTCTAAATTCCATCTGCTCTTTTTTGTCACCTTCTGTACTCAGAAATGCATTCATCAGAAGCACAAGCACTCTGGGACAGTGACAAATTTTACCATCCCTGGCTTGTCACTTCAACAAGATTAGATTATTTTAATATTAATTCATTACCCAATTTAAATTCAATTAAATACAATTTACAAGGCCCTGACGTGGCTGTGATGCTAGCCCCTGCTTCAGATGTAGCATCTCTGCTAGGGTCAAACACCTGCCTCAGTGAGATTCCCCAGTCCTTCATCAAAGACCCCCTTTGCCTGCTTTTCCCTAACAAGGGAAAAAGGACACTGAAACCACTGAGATGGATGAATAGCTTTCCTTTCTGGTGGGAATATGTTCAGGAAAATAGTTCACGTTCAAAATTCTCCACAGATGGTTGAAATCAGAGTTGATTTCCCCATCTTCCTTCCTGGTAGGGGTGCCAGCCTGTCTCTCACCAGAAAGAATATTAAAAGCACTTTTCCTCTTTCTCACAGGGAGAGGCTGCATGAAGTAGGGAATGCTCCACAGTACCTGTGGGATAGCAATAAATCATGAGAGCTCATGGAAAATTTGCATTGCTGCACTCTTTAGTCAGGAACCAGTTTCCATGGGTCATTCATTCCTACCTTCAGACATGCTACCTTTAAGATGAGAACACAAATGGAGATAATAAGCACCTGAAGCATTTTCATTTCTACCTACGCTTTGCTACAAGTCATTACTTCTGCCAGCTCCACATTAGTTGTCACCTACATATTTGCTTCCAACTAAGACGCAACTTTAGCAGTGCCAGAAATCAAAAGATCCACCAGGACCACACAGGACAAAAAAGGAAGACCTAAACAGAAACGGCTGGGAGAGAAACAGAAGAAAACAGGAAAAAGTATGGAGCTGGAAGAAAAACAGAAAGCAGAAGATGCAGAGTGAAATACAGAAGGGAGAAGGTGAGAAGAGTATGGGGAAGGGAAATGCAAAACTGGAACAGACTCCAAATCTGGGCAGTGATGCTCCACGCCACCTTTCCAAAGCTGTTACAATCTGCATCCCTGTCTCTGAGACAGGACTCAAAGCCTCTCCCCAGCTGGCAGCCTGACCTTGGTGCACTCTGCCCTTACACAGCACAGCCCTGCGCAGCCACCGGCACACAAACACAGCTCCCAGGAAGGTACAGCCCAGGCCTGGAGTGCAGCAGCACAGACCTGTCCCGTTTGCACTGCACCAGCCTGCATGCAAATCTGGAGTTTGAATCAGGAGCTCATGCTGTTCAAAGCTCTCCTAGCACTAGCCCTGGTCCTCATCTGAACAGAGACTATTATGGCATAAACGAGAGGAAAGGACCACTGAACTATGTGGCAAGTTGCCAGGCTGTGCTGCAGCCTCCAGCAGTTATGCTCAAAGAGATTTAAAGTCCAGCATAACCTTGATTTTTAATAGAGTCACATTTAATGAGCTTTAACGTCCACAGTAATAATTTTCTTATTACCTATCCAGGAGTTGGAACCACGATCAGAAAAACCGTGCTGTGCACTCCAGCCCAATGAAGGGATTTAATAATGGCCAACACATTATTATCAAAACCATCAGCATCATTGTCCTTAATGCCTTTTTTTGGTTGGTATAATTATAATTCTCTGAACCATAAGCATAGCTGTTGCAAACCACATAAGCTCACTGAATGCAGCAAACCTGACTGGCTTGAAGCCACCCAAATCCTTCACCCCTGCCAACCAGCCAGCCAGGTTATATGGCAAAATGGGACAATAAAATCTTACATTTACCTCAATTTGTCTAAAGGCAACTTACACATGACCTTCATTGTCTTCCCAAATGCTTCCTACTGTCCTCACTCTCTCTTCATCCCATTCAATTCTGACACCAGGGACCTCCCACTTCAAAAGCACAGAGAACTGAATGTGCCTCTTGCATGTGTTATATGAACAAGCTGGATAAACAGGCAGGCAGGTATTGCAGCTGGCAGAAAAGGGTGCAAGAAAAAATCTAATTCTTGTTATTTTTGCACAGAATTAGCTTCACAAACTTCACTGAAACCTGCCCCCTGATTATGCACAACAAACCTCCCTCCTTGGGACAGCCAATTGCACAGTGACAAACAGAGCAGAGGGAGTTTCTGCCACACGCTCCCCATTTCACACCGTGAAAACACACTGAAGCAGAAGGCATATGGCAGCTGCTTCTGTGGGCAGAGCTGTGGAGATCCTAAGAAAACAGCAAAAGCTGGATCTTCCATTTCTTATCCAGAGGGAGACACTGTGAGTGTTCTGACCACGCAAATCCACTGCTGAACAGCTGCTGCATCCAACGCTGCGGATGCAGGATGGAGTCAACACAGAAATGGATGCAGCTTGCACAATGATCCCTAACCCACCAGGAGCTCTCCCTGCCCCAGCAAGAAGGCCAAATCTGGCATTCACCTGCCTAATTTAAAGCCAGCTCAGAATCACCCACTAACCTTGCAATCAGTGCCATAACATCCTCAGCATCTCTTGCTCATCCCAATAGTCACAGTATTCACGCTCCGACCATACTGCTGAATTCCCACAGCAGAAAGGAGGGTTTAGCAGTATTTACAGCAATGTGCCCTGTGCATGACAGTGATGCACACAAGAACACAAAATACAAGAAAAAAACCAAGATCTTTCCACATAACCTGGCTTACTATGCACACACCCTGGTCTCAAAGAGTCATCCTCGGGGCTCCTCCATCCTTCACTAACAGCTCTTTTGCCCATTTTGTTTACAAGAACCACTTCCATATGCACTTATAGGCACTCTGAGCATGCAAGGGCCCTCCTGTGACTGTGATAAATGACACTGAAGTACTTCCCACACTGTTAGGCTCTGCACCTGATGCTCTCTTCCATCTGAGCTGGTGACCAGAAGTCAGAATGATGCAGCTTGGGACAGGGGTAAAAGGGGAAAAAAAGGCATCATATACATAAGAGGCTGGAAACATCCTGAAACCCAGTGAGCTGTTTGTTTTCCTGTTGGAATCAAAGGCAGAAGAGAAAACAGCTTTAAAAATGCATCCCTCCTGAGCTGGCAACAGACCTGGTAACATCCCAGCACAGAGGCAGCTCACAAACAGCTAAAAGCAACTGTGTGAAAGGCAGCAGAATTCTGACTAAGAGATCACAGGAGGCACACGTGAGAAACTCATTTCCCCAGAAGAGATGGTCTAATTACTGCAGATGATACCCCAGAGGTTCATTCAGCAGCAGCAGAGACAGACTGACCTCAACTCTGCAGCCTCTCTGCCCCTGACCCTGTTCTCCCTGGGCTCACGGGGCACTGTCAGCCCTGTGGACCTGCAGCATTAGATGTGTTGGGTACTTGGGGACATAATGACAGACAAGGGCATTGGGCAGCAGCATCTACTGCAATTAGACCCCTAAAACCAATTCAAACTGCAGTGCAGTAACTGTCCCCAAGAGCTGCTCAGCAGCAGTCTCAGACTGGAAGCTCCTACGGACAACGATGGCCTTCTTAAACATTTCCCAAGTGTTTCATGCTTATGCATTTGTTAGAGCATCCACCAACAGCAGTGACAAACTGTCACTTACCTCCAACATCCAGTCAGCTCTTCACTTTACAAACCACCCCATCTGCACTTCTCACCAGCATATTTTTAAGGCTATATAGTGCCATAATCTGCTATGAGATGCCAGAACCAACACATTCACAGCAGTAATAAAGTGCCATTGTCTGAACGATGGGAAAACAAGCAGGATACTTTCTGAGAATTTTGGTATCATAACAGTGAAAGGTATTTTCTTCTGTGCATTTTCTTTAAACCAGGGCTCTGCTCTTTTGTAGCTCCAGCACACATGGCCTTTGAGTAAAGCTCTGCTCTCTCAGCTCCATCCGAGGGAGGATCCTGACCTCTGGATGCTGACCATGTACATGTTGCTGGAACACATCGGGTTAGCTCCACCTCGACCTTCAGCTCTCTTTTTATTTTCCTCATCTCTAAAAAAATTGTTTTGAGGGCATGAGAGAGTTACAGCAGTGAGATCTCCTGGGCTCTGCAGCACGTCTCGACTCTGCCCAGTACCTCGTAGTGTTGTAGGTGATGGGTCAGGCTTTATTGATATCCTTACCTTGATTTACAGAGTCTTGAGAGCATGTCTGGAAGTGTTGATTTTTGGGGTTACTGTACTAAAAAGTCTTACTCAGGTATGTGAAGGGAAGACAGACTGTACTGGAGAGCCACAGACTCTGTGAAATGTATTTAGCTCGGTGAAAGATGTACTCTGCTTTCATGGAGTATTGAATGTAGCTGTGATTAATGGGGCACATATACACTGATAAACAATATTAATTTGTTTTAAGCCAGGTCTGAAAAGATTTCAACCACTTGCTTCCCTGCAGCTATGAAAGTTATTTCCTGCTGTCTGTACTACCTCAAGGGCTAAACCAGCCCTGAAAGGAAGGAAATATTTCCTTTCGTTCTGTTGGCAGCACCAGCCTATGAAGGCTGTTGGATTGGTATTTCATTTATCATGAGCAAATGATATGAATTATTATTATTTAGCCTTACCACCCACCCTCTACCAAACTGCCACAGGATTGCCACCACACATTCACTCTGTCCTGCATGAACACAGCTTTTTTTCATTTCCCTTATAACCACTCCATCAAGGACAGTGTCTGCAATGTCTCATCTGCTTCTGCAGTCAGTTCCTTTGGCAATCTGGATGAATAAAAATGCATCTTCAGGATCAGAAGCCAACAGCCTACCTGCAACTTCTTGTGGTGAGTGATAACATGGAAGTCCTTCCAGATGCCCAGAGATGGAGCCACCTGCCTCGAGCACCCTCACCAGCTCCCGCAGCCTCTCACACTCCTCCTGGAGCAGCTGCTGCTCCTCCTTGTGCTGCTGCTTGGCTAAACTCGTTGGGTTCACGCTGAAGTGAAGAATTTTGGTTCTGCTGGGGTCATAGTCACCCTGTGTGGCAGAAACAACAGAAGCACATTGAGTAACTGATTCACCCTCCAAATCCACCCAACCTGCACCACTCTGTGTGAACTTAAAAAATGTTACAGCAGAAAATGTGACATTTGTGCAGTGACAATGTTTTATTTTAGCAGCTGAAGTCAGACAAACCCAGTATTGTTTCTCCTCCTCTTGCTACTCTGTCTCAAAAAAACTCCACCAGAAATAAAATAAAAAAGAAACAACAAACCAAAACCAAAACATCCAGAAGAAACCCACAGAAACACTTCACTCAACAGAGATTGCTCCCTGGCTGACACCTCCACAGTTAAACTGAACTCCAGAAATGAAGTTTATAGCTGCATTTTAAATCTCTTGATAGCAGGAGATAATAATGAACACTCAGATACACCCTGAAACTACAGCAGGACACCCAGTACCAGCCTGATTTATTACTCATACGAACCAGCAATGTCCACATGAGTCCAAAGGTGGAGTCATTAGCAAGTTCTATCAGCTCATCCCAAGCAAGGGAACAGATACTCCATTCTTTTTTTCTCAGAGGTGAGTTGTATTTATAGCACTGTAAATAGTCAGTCAAGTCCTAAGATGGCAAATTAATATTCTTTCAAAGCGAGAGGAAAACCCTGATGTTACATTTGTGATTTCAGAGAGACAATTTTCAGACAAACTACAGGAAGCCTCATGACCATAAACGTAGTAAAGCATGTGCTAATGCTGCCTGCCACGGCACTCTGCCCAGCTGAAACCCTATAGCAGTGCCTGCATAAAAAGGTATTTTCAATGGTAATATTTTTCCTTCAATTAAATCTCAGGACTTAAAGTGATTTTGTAAACATTAATTAACCCTCAAGAGCAGCATGAGGTAAGTATTATCCCAATTTTATCATTTCGTTTCCATTAAAGATGTGCTAGAACTTTATGTATTTTGGGGGTTTTTTTCAGAGCAGAGACTGAGCAATTTCATCCTGCATTGCCGGTCATTGCTGGTAAGAGACCCCAAAAGATCTCATTCCCAAACATCTTTTATTGAAAACACTCTATTCACATGTTGTAAAGCACCTCAGCCCACAGCAGGCAGTGAACTGCCAGAACTTATTGCCCTCAGAGCCTGGCAGCAGATGCAAAACTGGTTAAAAAATGAGTTTGATAAATTCAACAGCTCCATGACTGGGACCTGCCAGGGAGGGCAGGGGTGCATCCTCCAGCATCTCTGGCTCCTGGAAGTGCTGGGGAGCATGGAGAAGTTTGTGGGCTCTCACACAATAGCAGCTTCTGTCACTGTGGTCAAAGATGATCTTCTGGGCTTTCCTCCCCACCCTCCAAAAAAACCCAGGTATGGTGGTTCCTTAGAACTACTCTGAGAAACCAGTTTGGTGCTCCTCATTAGAAATCAGTTTAGCCACAGATGTCCATGTGAGTAGGAGAGATGGTCACTAATTCACAGTGCAAGTCAAAATGGAGGAGATCATATCTGTATGTCCCAGGCCAAGAGGGGATGGGAGGAACTCCCTAAACACAGGCCATGGGAACCCCCAAAGGGCTGCTCCGGTCCAAGAACTCACTCCAGAGAGCTGGGAGAACTCAGGCATGAAACCTTGGCTGCCCTTCCTAGCTGTCTGCATTCACCACAGTCAGAGGATATGGTCTTCCAGCCCTTGGCCATGCACTGAGCAGGTGATGGGTGTTCTCATACTGCACAAGCCTCACAGTGCTCAGGTGACCTCAGGAACACCTGGGAGGGCAGCCCTACAGCAACAGGGCTCTGTGACCCCATTACCATGGGGAGTGTCAACACAAACAGCCCAAAACTGACAGACAGGATCAAAAGAAATAATCCCACCAACAGCTTTGGCCAAGAGAAATGTAGGTGAGAACTGAAGGACTGAGGCCGTAAGCCGCATCCTGGGGATGTCAAACAGAGGGAGAACGAAGACAACTGCAACACCAACTTATTAGATATATTCTCCCCAGCAACACACTGGCATTTACAAAACTCTTTCTGCACTCAGCTCTCTACCTTCTCGTGCTATTTGCACTTCAGGACTCTTCCAGACAGGTCAGGACACTCCTCACTCTCATGTTTGCCTTTCAAGGGAAGAGATTCAACCCCAGAGTTGGTGATGGGGTTTACACTGGTTGACAAAAGGACGCTCATAATACCAGTTCTCCCAGCACAGCAGTGTTTCTGACCAGCCAGGAGGCTCTGGCCCCACCTCCCTTGCCAAGGTCAGGTAGAGCTCAGGGCTCCTTGCCCCAGCTGCCACCACCACACTGACTCCAGCACAGGGACCTCCATCGCTGTAGATGCTCATGCATGGCACAGAACAGCAGCAGGATCCTGGTGTGAGGAAAGCCACCAACACCTGGAGACTGCTGCTACCTCCCTGCTGGGGCTGCTGTAACCTATGCTGCACCAGTCTGTTTATTTTGCAGGTTATTTACTCTTTTCAGTCATCCTCTGGCCTTTCTATAAAGCCCTGCCCTGAAGTTGCAGTGCTTTGGCTCTTCTAGATCATTCAGACTATTTATTCTCTCCTTTTATAAAGTGCCCCTTTAAAAAATCATGCTCTAACAACTCAGCAGCAGGGCTCAGTCTGATTTTCGGGGTTCACCAGCTCTCCTCAGCACATCAGTCTGAAGCTACACCAAGACACATGAACCTCTTAAAAGCCCACAGTGAGACACAGGCTGTGGCAGAATCCATCTCATTTAACATTTCTGGGAGATCACTAACATATTTGCTATGCTACTCACATTTTTGGGCTAAGGGCAGTAGCTTTCTCTTTCTTCTACACAGCACACATCAAACCAGTACATTTCTCCCTACAGCTAAAATATTAGTGCAGCTGGTTTATATTATAGCAATGCCTAAAAGAAACCAAGTGAGACATGGATCCCAGCGTGCCAGGTCCTCTAGAAATCCCACAGGAAACTACCACCTCAAGCCCAAAGAGCAGACAACAAAGCCTGATGATGTGGTATGTCAGGGGAGTGCAGGCAGGGAAAGATCCACTCTCCAGTTCCAAACTCCTTAGCAGCACCGTGATGGGAAAGAGGAAAGGGGAAAGGGGAAGGAAAAGAGGAAGGGAAAGGGGAAAGGGGAAGGGAAGGAAAATGGGAAAGGGAAAAGAGAAGGGAAAAAGGGAAGGGAAAAGGGAAAAGGCAAAGGGAAGATGTCTTCAGAGCAGCCCCTGCTCACCACTGCAAGGCAGTGCTGCCGTACACAGTCGCACCAAGCAGAGTGTTACTTAAGTCTCTGGGAAATTTACTGACATCCTATGGAGTTTCAAATAAATGCAGGAAGCTTTCCATGGAAACGGTGCAGACCAGAGGCAATGTCTGATGAAAGGGATCGCTCGCATCTGTATGTAATACCAGACAGCCAAAATGGTATCACAGCTTCAATCATTTGGAGCTTTCTTCCAAATTTCTGAGGGCTGGGAGTGATTTTGTGTCAGGAAAATGAGTGGTTTAGGGTTGCCTCTTGGAAAAATCATGGCTGGAAACTGCTGAATGTAACAGACAGCAAAGCAGCATTAAAATCTCACTAGCATTTGAAAGACATGAAACCCTAATGCTGGTAAGAAACCAGGGAGCAAAGAAAGCAAACAACCTCCTCCTGGAATCCCTTTAGCTCTGGAAAATGTAAATTGCTGTTTTTCTCTGTCAACTGCTATTCCCCCCACAATAAATTAGTCTTAGTGATCATAATTTTGTCCTTTCAGCTCTGCAGCAGAAGCCTGGAAAATGGTGTTTCAGGCACTGGGAAGGAAGATCCAAAACAGATTTTCCCATTTAGAAAATAATTTCTAATCTAGGGCCACTGAAGAGGAAGACCAAACAGTGGCATTTGAAACGTGGGTACAGAAGAGACAGTCACATTCCTTGAACAGGAGCTGGGACTCCCCAAACAGCTGCCCAGGCACAACTCCAGATGTTGCTTCTGTGCTAAACTAACACATGCAAGGAAGATATTGCTTAACAGACTTTAAAAGTATCTTGTAACAAATAGCAGTGTATTCCTGGTTTCTCCAAAAAGCACGAAAAGCCTGCTGCAGGTTTGGAAACTTGGCTGAATGGGAGATTTGACCAAATCCACTTCAGCTGATGGTGCCTTTATACAGCAATTTGAGACATTTGGGGGATGCAATCAGTATGTGACTTATAGGCTATGCCTCTGTTGGAAGCCACCCCAGCCCTGGCTCATTCAGTAGGTAACTTGGTAGCTCATTCTGCTTCTCAGCACCTCATGGCCAGTGGCTCAGAGTGAAGATGATACATTACTGCCAGTTTCTCAGCAGCACCCCCTCTTTACTCCTATTTTCCCAAATACTTTAAAAACTGGAAATTGTAGAGATGCTGAAGAGTAAATGACTTGGACTAGAGAGAACTCCTGGTGTTCATTGATTCTCCTTTCAAGGAATAACATTGAACAAATAATTCAGATTTGTCAGAAAAATGTACACGAGCTTCAATTTAGGGGGAAGCAATAAATACCTTGATTGATTGCAACCAAGTCTGGCTGACACTTAGGAGAGTGAATTATTCATTCCTGGAAAGCAAGATGCTAACTAGCTGATTTGGTGCTTAAGGCAGCAAACCCATTTTTGTGCTCTCAGAAGGCCACTGGACATTTTACAGAAATGATTTGTTGAGTCCTCATCTTAATATGTTCTACAGTTTGTGAAATAATGTTATTTTGATGCATTATCCTCAGCCTCCCAGACACGTGCCCCAGGGTATGCACAAGGAAACCTCTCCCATGGACCACTGTGAAGAACCATCCCACTGCTCCTGTCCTGACTGCACAGTGTGAGACAACCACTGCAGATGCCACACACAAATATGGGCTTAATGCTGTATGTTCCAAACACACCCTGGAACATGGCAGAACTATTTAGTAAGACTCTGGCTATCAATAAACTTTCTGACAAAAGACCATGGAAAAAAGAATTTGCAACAGGGCCAATTTGTCATCTAGAAGCAAG